TGTTACAGCAGAATACCTGAAGGAGGGTAAAATTTTTTTAAAGAGATCTTTTTTCTGGCAGGCAGCATCACATTATGAGAGAGTATGCTTCATCCTCATGACCCCGAATAATGATCCTAATTACTCTCAACCACCCACATCCGAATGCTGCCTCCAGGAACCCGTAAGACCTGTCTGCAGGCTGTGGTGCAGGTCCTGGCTACTAAGGTCCAGAGGAGACCTTCTCATTCCTTTCTTTAGCCAAGTGCTCTCTGGAGGATACCAGCGGCCTTCGGTGGGCTTCTGGCCAACCCACCTAGAACCCTCTCCCTCTCTTCTGCTGCTTCCTTCCATGGTAAAAGAACATGAAATTTCTCTGGACCATGTGCTTTTCTGATGCAGTTTGGAGGTACAAGTCTCTTCTCCTAGGGTTAGTAGCAGTCCATTTTATGTGTAATGATGCATGCCAACTAGGCAACCCTGTTCTCATATAGAACAGTGGCTTGTTGCTTAGGTCAACGCAGAATAGCTAAGATGTCCCCAAAGTACTCTATTTTGATTTAGAAGCTTTGCCTTATTTGAACATCCACAGACTAATTCCGTCCTTTATAAATTATCTGAGGTAAAATTGTTTGCATTGCACAAAACTTTGTGGCCACCAAGAGGCCCTTCTTCCATTTTTCCCTCTTGTGAAAGGTACAGTCTGCTGTCTTTGCATCCAGGAGAGTGTTTTACTATCATTTGATTTTGAGAATGCTTTATGTGAGTTCAGATCATTAGAGATTATTGGCAAGAGTGAAAACATTTTAAAAATACCTAGAAAAAATGTAATAAATACAGAATCCTGGGGGAAGGAGAGAGTGACTTAATTCCTTCTTTAAAATGAAGAGAACACACTCGTAAGTGCAGGGCCACATTTTAATGTGATTGTGATCCTGAACTGGTCTTCTCAGTGCTTGGTGGGGGAGGGCCATCAGCCTTTCCAGCCATTTAGATAGGCTTTTGTTTTTATTGTTGGTTACTGTACAAATTCCAAGAAATAGAAAGACCTCTTGGGCCAAATCAATTTGCCTTCTCTTGTATACATTTGTTAATTTATAGCAGCTTCCATTTCCCCCTTGTTTTCCAAAGTTGAATGTCTTTAACCACCGTCTGTGTGCTCCTCCTTCTCAGAAGCCAAAGAGGTTCCTTTCTTCCCTCCTGGTGACATAACTGGAAATTTGGTTAATGTACTAAATTTTAAGCTTTGGCACTCGCAGAAGCAGCTATCCATCTGCTGGCGAGACACGCTGCCCCGGGCTTTTCAAGAAATCCCTTAATAGTCCTGAACACTAATAATATTTATATACATTGAGATGAGACAATTTACAGCGGGCTTCTGGGGCTGGCTCCAGGACTCTTAATCCCACGCTTCCCCGTGTTTTCCTGCCTGCCTTCCGGAATCCTCTTGGAGGATTCAGCCAAGGGAGCCCCAGCTTTGCTCCTTGGGACAGCCACTTATTTATGAAGTCTGTCCTCTAGCGAACAAGCTCCTATTGGTTCAGCCTTCCTTCTGCCCCTGGCGTGCTGCGCCTCGTCCCTGCAGGACAGAGATGGGTGTTGTGCATACTATGCATTGCTTGACGTAAAGGAGCCGGCTCCCTTGGAATCCCCTGAAGAGAAAGTGCCTATCAGGAAAGAAGATGATCTGGCCAACTTTAAGCACACCAAGAGTCATCTGGAGGTAGCTCCCACCCCTTGCCATCAACCTGACCTCCCCAGCTTGCCTGTTGCCAGCCGCAGGGTCAGGCTGACCAGGCAGCTGGCTCCCCTCGCTCTCCCTCTGGGAGGTCTCAGTGTACTCCTGCTCAGACTTGCTGCTTTCCATGAGTAGGAAGTAGAAATGCAAAACAAACTAACAAGTTCTTAGTCAAGTACTTATTTTCCTTTTGCGTCCTGGGAAAGTTTACATTTGGGTATAACTTATAGTAAGCTAGTCTTCATTTCTATCCTCCTTAATGCTCTAGAGTTAGTGTTTGAATGGCCGTTTGATCTCGGTATCTGTTTTCTGTCATTTCTATAGCATTTTCTTTATATTGTGAGGAAAAGGCTTTCTGCAAGTTAATACTGGGCCCAGCTACTCTTGGATGATGACTGGGAGGTTCCTAACCAGCTTTCCCGGGCTCTAACTACAAAGCATGGTGAAAGAGGATGGTGAGGAGCAGGCAGCTTCATGGGGTCCGGGCTGGGGTGTGCTCCAGCCTGCTGCCGGCACAGCCTGGTGAGCCAGGTGTGATGTGCTTCATTTCTGCAGCCAGTTCGTTGAGCCTCATGGATCTGTTATGTTGCATGAGCTTTCTGGGGACAACACGGTAGGTTGTGAGCCTCCTTCTTGCCTAGTCCTCCTTCTTCCAGCTCTGTTCTCCCTAATCCTCATGGTTCTACTTCCAGGTGAGCTTGCTGATCTGAAACTCCGACTCGCACCCTGCGCCTGGCCCCTGTGCATCACCCTGCACCTCCCATCAAGGGCCGACACGCAGCCTTCGTCAGCGCAGGCACGCAGCTCTCCAGCTACAGCAGCTTGTTGGCTTTTATAAACATTTGCGTGTGATTCCATCTTTGGTGTTCTCCATTCTGTGCACCTTCCTGGCATCTAGAGGCCGGGAAATGTACACCCAATTCTGGACTTCTCCAGTCCTGCATCCTTCCCTGAGGAGAGGGGCCACACATGACCCGTACGTGTAGCAGGAGCTTGATAAATTGTTGTTCATAGATAAAGATGCATGGACTCAGAGCCTGCTGCTAGCCATGTAGAAGTCAGGCTGTGCACTTCCTGTGTCTCTTTAGATCTTAAGTCTTGAAACGATCTTATTAATGAATATATTTGAAATCAGTCATTTATTCTACTTTGTTTTTCTATGTCTGAGTGAAAGGTTTGATGGTGATTGTGTTTGTTGCTGCTCTGCTAGGCATATAAATTCATGTTCCTTTTTCTGAGACAGTCACCATCTCGGACAGTGTATGTCTCTAACATTTGAGGAGTTTCTGCAACATTTTCTTCATTGGTGTGGTCATAGATAGTACAATTCTTGTTAGGTGTTGGACAGGTTATTTTTTTCAAGTAGCTAGAGCAGAGTCATTGAGAGCAAATTTTGTCAAACAGAATGACTGACATAAACCACCAGGAATGTTTTCTTTTCCATTTATACACAGCTCCGGTGCGCCTCCCCAGACATCAGGTTGGTTGCATATGATACAAAGCAGTCATTCAAAGAAAGCAAAAGTTTATTTCTCCTACTGCTGAAAACTTCTAGAGTCTTCTCTGCCATCTTTAATATACTACCTAGTGGTTCTGGATGGCTGCATGAGCTCATTGTAGTATTTCTGCAGTCCAGCCAGTGAGGAAAAGAAGAAAGAGTATTTCTTCTTGGTTTTAGGGGGTTTTGCAGGAAGTTCAAGTTTAAAGAAAAATGTTGCCTGTATCTCACGAGGCAGACCTGAAGATATGCGGCCACTGCTACCTACATTGTCTAAGGAGACCACACTGTGCTCAACTAAAAATTATAAAAAGAAAAAATGATGGAAAGCAATTTGGCGTTTCTGCCAAAGATAATTTCAAAGGAGAAAGTTACAATATTATTTTAAGCTTGACAGTATCATGAGAAGTCATCAGTTTTCTTCAGAGTTGATCCTGCTCACTGGAACATTCAAGTCCTGATACCTGTTTTTAAGTTAACTTATTTGCAGTGAAATAGGAGCTCTTGGGTACACTTAGATGTATAAGTTGTAGGCTTTCCAAAGGACAGTTTGACTTGGCAGGCTCACTTCTGGAAATCGGTCCTGGTGAAATACTAAGACCACTTAGGAAGATCACAGGGCAGATTGCATAATAAAAAAATGGGAATGGGGAAATGTCTCATAGTAGGAGACAAGATGTGCCCTGCAGTCAGCTCTCCTATGGGATCTGATCCTTTCTAAAGGTCTTATTGCTGGTACACATGTGTAAGAAAGGACATAAGAAGGTATGACAAAGGGGCCACTTGCGAGCAGGTGGACTTGCAAATTCTTCACGTTCCCTCTCTCGTCTATGATCTTAGATTCTTTTTGGAGTTTGTATTTTTATAAGAAAAAAAACCATAAAATCTTGACTCGTTGCATGACAGAATAAAAAATATACACATTTAAATAACTTGTATTGTTTTCCAACTCAGAAAAGGGAAAAGTAGGGCATGTATAATGCAAACCAGATTTCATATTGTGTTGATTTATACTTTATTTACGAGTAAGGCAGACAGTCTATAGAGGGTGATCATTACGGAGCTGTTAGGAAATAAACACCAGCTCATCTGTTTGGGATGTGACGTGTGGGTCTGTGGTGGTGAAACCCTGCTTTTGCTTAATATGAACACAGAAGAGTTTAAGAAGAGATAGTCTTGAATATCTCGTGGTCCCTTGGGCTCAGAGACAACACACACACACAGAGTGACGTCTGACACTAATAGAGTGACTTGTCAGAACTCTGGTAGCCTCCAGGGTAGTGCTGTGGGAGGGCACTGGGAGTTGAATTCTCAACACAGGTGGTGGGGGTTGGGAGGAAGGAGATAGACAGAAAGAGGGGTATGGGGAGAAACCCTCACTGTTATTATAGGCTACTGTTAGAATGGTTCTCTCTTATGACTAGTTATTGTTTGTCTCTTGTTGTGCCTGATTTATACTTTAAACTTTGCCATAGCTCTGTGTGTGTGTGTGCGTGTGTGTGTGCGCGCGCGTGTGTGTAGAAAGCACAGTGTGGTTCAGGCCTCCTCTGGGGGCCTCAGCAGGGATTGTATGTGAACCCGGAGAGTTTGGTGCCCTTTAAAGATGAGTAGACCATGTGGTTCCTGGGGCTTCCCCCCTTACCTGCACCTCTGGCTCCTCCCAGACCACACAAGGAGTGGGGCCAAGAGGCTAGGGAGAGCCTATGTGTCCTGTGCAGCCCAGGGTGGGGTGAGGGGTGCCGGTTGCAGGCTCACCCTATCTCACCACTGACCTTCTGCCCACAGTGTGCCCGAGCGTGTGCGGGAAGCGCGCATGCACCGAGAACAACGAGTGCTGCCACCCCGAGTGCCTGGGCAGCTGCCATGCGCCCGACGATGACACGGCCTGCGTGGCCTGCAGACACTTCTACTATGCTGGCGTCTGTGTGCCCGCCTGCCCGCCCGGCACCTATCGCTTCGAAGGCTGGCGCTGCGTGGACCGTGACTTCTGCGCCAACATCCCAAATGCCGAGAGCAGTGACTCTGAGGGCTTCGTCATCCACGACGGCGAGTGCATGCAGGAGTGCCCCTCTGGCTTCATTCGCAACGGCAGCCAGAGGTCTGGGGCTGGGTGCGGGTGGATAGACAGATGCCTGGGCGGTCCAGGGGCAGGAGTGCTCTGCCTCATCTTCCCTTCTGCTTCCCCTTCCTCTTCTCTTCCCTCTTTCTCTTCTCGCTTCCCCTCCCTCCCTCCCTCCCTCCCTCCCTCTTCTGTTTTTGTAGTACTGGTGTCTGAACCCAGAACTTTCACATTGACCTATACTTACAGCCATTAAAAAAAATTGCATAGAAGGACTAAGTACCTGGTTAGGCAAGCACAGGCACTGGGTTTGATCCCCAGTGCCATATACTGCACTGGTCCCAGAAACCCCAGGCACACCGTGCTGGTCACTGAAACTGGGTATGGTGGTGCATGCCTGTACTCCCAGTGCTAGGGAGCCTGGAAATGGGAGGATCACTACAAGTCTGAGCTGTGTAGTGAGATGCTGTATCAAAAAAAGAACATAAAAATATTTAAATAACGGAACTTAGCAAA